CCATTAGGAACTGTCACTGGCGGAAATAGATCTCTGACATGTTGTCTCCACCATGCAACCCCCAAGGGGCGGGGGGACCTAACCTGGGATGAAATGCTTTGATGTATTTGGAGGAAAGGCACTTTGCAAAGCACTACCATTAGCACTGGTAGTAATTTATAATAGTAATGGTAGCGTGGAGGAAAATGTGACTGCCTAACGCACGGAGCACCAAACAGTGTGACAAAAAGATAGGGCCTCTCTTGGCTCAAAATACACAGGGAGGAGTCGGACATGCAGATTTGCATTTCCTTCTCAGTGCCGCGTGAATCTGAGTTCCAGAACACATATGACCAACATGTATTCCCTGGGCATTTTTGTCCTGGATGTGGAGCAGGAGAGGCCAGTCTGTGATTCCGGGTCTTTCTATTCAATTGGTATGTAGATAGCAGGACGGTAAGACAGGTGCACACCAGAGGAGGGAAGACCTGGCCTGGGATTCCAGGGACCTGGGTGCTGTATCTGGCCCCTGCTGTGACTTCTCTCTTGTCTCCTCACCCACAAAAGAGGGGGCTGTGGTAGGCATCACCCCATAGGCATCTCAAGTGACCCCGTGAATATTAGGGTCACTGACTCCCAGCTCTGAGCACCGGAGCAAAGGGCACAGAAAGCAACAGCCGTGAGCCTTCGAATGAAATCCTTCAGAGAAGCTCACTCTTTCCAGCACTAGCTGAATAAGATTCCAATAAACATATTGCTGAAATGTTTGTTTCCGGGTGTCATTTTAGACTGCAAGTAGCGAAAACAGATCCGGCTCCTATATATAGATACTGCATTTGGTTGCGTTCTGGGAGGCTTTTATTACTACGCTCCCTGGCCGGCTCCCAGCTGAGCTTTCCCCTCAGGGGATCGGATTTTGGAATCAGAAAGTCAGAGAGGATCAGTGACCATCTTAAGGGCCCCTCCCCAGCCCCCACCCCCGTCTGTCCCCACTAATGCCCTACTCTGCAGGTGGACGCCAACATGGAGTGGCCCCCCCAGCACTCCAAGACTCTTAATAATAATGATGACAATGCTAATGGAAAGTGACCAGCCCCACTATGGCAGCAAATACAAGCGAAGCAGCCCTGCCGGTCCTGGGCTTAAGGGAAACATAGTATCACTTGGGTTGAAATCAAAGTGCCGATTGTCATAAACAGCTCAGCCTTTAGATAAGAGGAGCCAGGGCCCTCTGTGGACAGAGGCAAAGAAAGGGGCTACCTAGTATTAAGGGTGGCTTTTTTTGAGAGGGGGAGGGGTGGGTGGGTGTCTGAATTGGACTGGAGAATTCTCCAGGGGAAGATAATGCTGGCAAAAAAAGTGAGTGAAGGAAGGTGGAGGTGGGTGTGGAGGAAGGTGTAGGTAGGGAAGGAGGAGGAAATCGGGGTTTACTTAAAGAGACAATGTTGAACCCTGGCAATCTGATTTTTCTGAAACGTGTCTGATCCCTAGAGCGAGCCCCTCCACTGAGTGTCCTTTGTTTTCTGTGAACAAAACCCAATCTCCGCCTCGTTTTGCAGTGGCTCTCCTCACCTGCCCCTCTGATTTCCCTATGTTTAGCCATCATGGCTCTAACTGCCTTCCTGGTCTCCATATTTTATGTGCCTCACCGCCTTTTCCCCTGTTTTCCTGCCTTTCAGTCTCATTCTTCCCTCCTCTCTTCCCTGCTTTGCTTCTTCAGTCCTTTCTCCTTCCAGACTCTACTCCTTTCCCTTCGCCCCCACCCCCCCTCCTTCCATTTCACTCCTTTCCTCCTCAACCCGCCCCTCCCCCCTTCCCCCTTGCCCTCCTCTCTCCTCCCTCCTCTCTCTTCCTTTCCTTCTCCTTTCCCCTCGCCCCTCTGTCCTTCTCCCCTTCCTCGCCTCGCTCCCCGTCTCCAGGTCCCCATCCCCTGCCCCTCTCCCCTCTCTTGTCTCCTTCCCCTTTCCCTCCCTCTCGGTCCTTGTTTATCTCTAAGCTCCAATTTCTCGCCTTATAGATTTACCTGCAGAACAGGACACCGCTCCTCTTGCAAAAACTGTTTAAGAAATCCATATCCTCTCCCTTCATTGCTTGGGCATTTCAGAAATGATATTCCTCCCCCAGCTACCCCCGTCAAAATAAAATAAATTCAGCCAGCTCCTGCTGTGTGTCCTTAAATCCATTCCCTCTGGCTTTGCTGGTTTGAAAGCCTGTACCCTAGAAGGGGCCTCCTGCATTTGCTGGCAACCCTGCTCGAGTCTGATCGCCACAGATAGTGCTTTGGAGTGAAAAAAAGGGGGAAAAACCCTCTCGTTGGAGATTTCAAAACAGAGTCTACCAGCTTTCCACTCTGTGCACTTGCGGAGTGGCAGGGCTTGGGGAAGAGGAGTCAGGGGGCTCGGGTGCCGGTGTTTGTCATAAACAAATAAGCCACAAAATTTATGTATATATAAATGTGCGTTGCCTTCGGCATGTGTGGTGTCTCCCTCCCTGGCATCCAGGGTGGGTGCCGGGCACGGCACGTCTGACTTCTCTCACACTTCTGCTGGGGCATGATGTGCATGTGTGATGGAATTGAGGAGGGGGCTGCTGTGCGTGCGTGTGTGCCTGTGTATGTGTGTGTGTTTTATCTGATCCACTTGACAGATTATTTGAATCCAGCCCACCTTTCCGCACATGTCAAACAGATGGGATCATTGTTACAAGCCATGAGAGAGCTGTGGCTGAGCGGTGGGTAAGGCGGGGAGGGGGGAGAGGGGAGGGGGCCGGGGGGAGAGAGGGGCACCTTCTAGTAGCTTTGTGTTTTCACACGTTGGAACTGACAGGAGCCCTTCTTCTCCGTGGGGGGGTGCCTTGGGGGATCTGAGGCTGATGAGGGGTGGGATGGAGAGGAGAGTGAGAGGTGGGGTGTCGATGGGCAGGGTTATGATGTCACAGCAAAAGTTACAACAGGAGGAAAACACAGAAATGGTTCAACATTTTTTTTTTAAACTTTGGACTGCCAAGAGCTGAAGGAGAGTGGTGAGCAAAGGAATGAAGGGGAGAGAGAGAAACTAAACTGGAAGCTTGAGTTTTGCGTAGCTTCGAAACCTTATGAATGGATTACTAGCAGCTGAGATCCAGGAGAGACCTGTAGGGGCTACGGGACCATTCCCACGTGAACAGGGGAGAAAGCAGGCGGAATTCTTCCTTGCCGTGTTACCCCTCCTTCCTGAAATGAATGGTATGGAAGCTTTTTCTGAGGGTCATGGGGGGTGGCAGGAGGGAGGGGGAAGTTTTCTTCTTTTCTTACCTGAGTATCTTTTCTTCATTTACACTAAGGTCCCTCTCCTTCCTTCCTTTCTTCCCTGGTGTTTCTCCCTCTCTCTCTCTCTTTCTCTCTCTCTCTTCTCTCCCTGCCTCCCCCCCTCCCTCCCCCTCTCCCTCTCTCTCCTTTTCCTGTGCTTTTCTGTCTTTCTCTACATCACCCTCTACTCCCTTCCAAAGCCCCCAAACACTTTTGAGCTGCTTCAGGGGGTGAGGGGGGGAGGAAGAAAAAGAAGGAGAAGGAAAAAAGGACTAAGCCAGAAGGAATGAAGGGAGATAGGAAAACAAGACTAGGAAAAAGGACAGTCTGGGATCGAGGGATTTCTGTTTAGTAATATCCACGTGCCTACACTGGTCAACTCTTTGGGGACTTGCTTTGAGGCACCAGAAGACGCTGCAAAGGCACCGGGACACGCCAGGGAGCTGGTGATGAGGGCACAGCCCTCTGAGAGCAAAGGAGCCAGTTATCAGCAGGGGTAGAGGAGTTGAGGAGGCGATGGGAAGTCTCTAGGCAAGAGAGGCGATTGTGCTCCCAAGTCCGTGGGCTGCATCATGCTCCCAAGTCCGTGGGCTGCATCATGCTCCCAAGTCCATGGGCTGCGTGCTGTACATGTGGGCATCACAGACAGGGGGTTAGCACTATACGTGATTTTTTCTTAGTAAGTGAAGGGCCCAGTCTGCCTTTCTGCCTGTTTTGTGCCCACCTGTGGCCAGACATCCTCACCTATGTCAAGAACTCGGAACCATGCTCTTGGGGTGCACGTACACGTGCGAGTGTGCGTACACACGTACATGTGTTTCAGGGGTGGGACTCCTTGGAGAGCCTGCCTTGAGGCAAACATTGTCACAGAGGCTGGAGACACAGTATTTACTTCCCCAGCCTCTCCATTCATTGGAAATCAATTGAGAAAAAAAAAAAGCTGCTTGGGTCTAGCTGTTCATTTCCGTAAATTACTTATTTTGAGCATCTCGTTTGTTTATTTGCACACCCAGCATATGGTGAGTTTTTGTAACTTCAGAGGGAGAAACTTCAGGGGGAGTAAGAAGACATACATAGCGCGAATTCATGGCATTTCCATTCAACGCTTCTTAGGGCAGGCGCATCGATGGCTCCTTTCTCCCAGTGTCCGATATAAAGTGAATTTGGGGTGTTGTTCTTTTGACTCCCAAATGATTGAAATAGGAAAAAAAATTACGGGAGGCTCGTGGCGAAACAAAAGAACGAGAAGCAAGTGGTCCCTGAAAGGCTGGTGGGGGGTTATTAGACAGTAAGCAGATCTGTTCACAACACATGTGCGTGTGTGTGTGTGTGTGTGTGTCTGAGAGAGAGAGAGAGAGAGAGAGAGAGAGAGAGAATACACACCGAAAGGACTCCTCCAAGACAGTATTGATTGCTATTGATTGTGTAGGCTGCGGCTGCTGAGAGAGAAAGCCCGAGATGTTTCCTGGGGAAACCAGAAGGAGCGTCTGCCCCCTGTGCCTCAGTGAGGTGGGGAGGTTTTCAGGAGGAAGGAGGGGCAGGGAGTAGGTGGAGTGATACACCGAACTTATTAGCTTTGACATCATCATTGTCTTTAAATGAAACAAACAAGAAGATAATTACAGGCAGAGAGAGAGGGAGAGAGGAGAGAGCAGGAGGCACCAGAGAGAATAGGTCCCCTGAAGTACATGCTCTCCTCCATCTCTTTTCCATCTTCTCAGGGACCCACGAGACTCCCCGAAGGTGAAGCCAAGGCTGTCAGGCTCATCAGGTTCTTAGGACACCAGACTGGCAGCCCCAAGGAGAACTTTCTGGAGACTGACAACATACCAACAAGTTGCGAGGGGATTAAAAACACCTTCACCACTCAACACGCCCAAGCAAGGGCCGAGGGAAGCACTGTGACCTGCACAGGCAGCCTGACAGCTGTATGGGGACCTTGCTGAGGAGCACATCTGGAGAATAAAAGCTAAGTACCAGCTTGGAATTTCGTGCCCCCAGAATCCTTCAGCCTTTTTAGATAATAAGCATCAAATTCTGTGTCTCTGTACGCAAGTTCTTCTAGCGGTTTGTTGGAAGGTAGCTCTATCTTAGGTTAAGGGCTACAAAAAGAACATAACTCCTAGGGAAGGAAGAAGGAAGAAAGACATGAAAATTAGAAGATCGGGGTCCTTTGAAGGACTTCAGCTCGCGAGGGGTACGTGCTGGTGAGGGAGTGTGTGTTGGAGAGCATTTGGCTCACCTCCATCCCGGGTCCCTCTTCTAGTACCAGCGAGGGGAGGGGCTAGTGAAGAAGGGACAGAAAGAGAAAGAAACCTGAGCTGTGTGGGAGGAGGTTCAGAGGAACCCGGAGAAATGAACCTCGGGCTGCAGGGACTAAACTAGAGCCAGGAGAAACAGGTCCCGGGAGTAGGGAGAGGGCACCGCCGCCCACGCAGCCCCGCGCCCCCGCGCAGGGCGCCGGAAGACGCACTCTCTGCGCGCTGCTGCTCCTGAAAGTTTGGTCCGTGAACGAAACAGTTTCCCGGTGACTGCGAATCCACCACTGCTAGCCGTCTCCTCCTCCTTCCCCCATCATTCCGGTGTGGTACCCAGAAGTTGACTTCTGGGTCTGTGTAAAGAGCTGGGGGGAGGTATGATGTGCCTAACAATCCTGAGAATAAGCCTGGTGATTGTGGCTGGGGGGGCGCTCAGCACCGCAGGCTCTGAGCCGGGCTGGCCTCGCAAGAGGTCCCTGGTGCAGAGGGGACACCTGAAGCAGGTGCTGTCGGAAGGGGAACGCTGTTGGCTGGGGGCCGAGCTGCGAAGACCCAGCGCTGCTCCCCAGCATCACCCCTTTGGGGTCTACCCCAGCAGGCCTGGGGGCTACCTGAGGCCCTACCCCCTGGGGGGGCAGGGAACGAGCCCCGCAGGGCGTAGGAAGCCTGGGGCCTCGAGCCCTGCTGAAAGCTTGGGGCTGAGGGGCCCCGCTGAGCAGCCAGCTGCCCCGTGGGCCACCACCAGGGCTGGTCCTGCTGGGTGGTCCGAGCCCAGGGGAGACAATGACACTTCTCTTGGTGACGGAGGATCCAAGGAGCCTCTAGGTGAGGCTGGGACTCAGGAACACACTGCCACGGCTGCCACAGTTGCCACCACCTTCGCGGCCCCAGAGGAACCCAAACCAGAGACCCGAAGGAAGGGCCGGGCCAAGACCAGGCATCGTCGCCAGGTGGCGAAGGGGCAGGCAGGGGCCGCGCGGGGAGACCCAGCTGTCCCTCCGAGGCATCTCCAGCCCCGGCCGAAGCATCCCCCCGTGCCCGGGGTCAGAACCAGTCCATTGGAGGACAGCACCCAGAGGGGTGGAGGGGACCCCTCCTGGGAAGCAGAGTCCCACGGAGGGCTGCCTGTCTTGTATTTCCCCGGGAGGCGGGGGCGGCTCCTGCTGCGTCCAGAAGTGCTGGCTGAGATTCCCCGGGAGGCGTTCACAGTGGAAGCCTGGGTGAGGCCGGAGGGAGGACAGAGCAACCCAGCCATCATTGCAGGTAATGCCCGCTCCTGGGCTCTCCGTGGTCTTCGGGGGACAGCTGGCTTCGTGTTTGACTGGGTTAGACGAAGGGGGCAAGGAGAGGGAGGGGGCAGGGGCAGGAAAGACAGGAAGGGGTGGCCAGGGAGAGGGTGGGGGGGCAGGGCCTTTATTCATCAGCCCTGCCGGACTCCAGACATCATGCACAATAATGACTCTAACCACCAGAGCACTGGTCCCAACGAGTATTGATCTCATGTGGTCCTGTACATGGTGCTTGCACTTCGCAGACCTTCGGCACACTCCCTTCCCCTCTTTAAAGGGGAAGAGCTCCCAGTCCTTGTCCAGAGAGGTGTCCCACTCCCATTTCTCATAGTCCAGTCTGAGAGACGCAGGTGCCTTTGATGCTACTCGTGAGGACAAGGACCCGGGCAGTGGGCCAGGCTGCGGGAGGAGAAGGCTGCCAGGTGTGCAGCCAGAAATCTGGGCAGCTCCTCTTGCTGGGAGCAGCCCTGGGACTTTGCAGGAAACGACTCTCTGGCCCAGGTCCTGGAGTCCCCATTGCTTGTCCTAACAATCATGTATTCAGCCTAAGAACAGCGGGGGCTGCTGGGTAGGGTGGGCACTCACAAGCCAGGCTCTTGGTGTCAAGCCCCGGCTGTTGTCTGAGGGACATACAAAGGAACCGTGTATTAACTCTCTGATTTGGATCAAAGGTCATATCTCAGAACATTTCCCATATGTATTTTGCACTGTATCCAGATCTTGGCTTTCATGGAAAGTCACCCAGAAAGACAAAGAAAAGAATGGCATTAGGAATAACTATTCCCTTTCCTTACTGAGGTTTCAAGCAAGGGGTGGGAGTTAGACATGTAGGTCGTTGTTTACCATCTCAGTATCCCTTTGCCCTCCCCCCTACCTCTCCCCCCCCATGATAGAGCCTCACACAAGGTTGGGCACCTAGTCGATCCATTTTAATCTCATTAGTTTGTATTATCCACAATTCCCTTTGATGTTTGCCCATCCCATTTACATCTAGGGGGAAACCAAACCATGAGAGGTGTGCCAGACACAGAGCGGAAGCGGAACCCCTGAGCTCCCGAAGTGCCCGACAGCTCCCCAAATTAAAAACTTCTCAGGTTGCTGGATGCCTCCAAAATAAGTTTCAGGCTGGAGAAAGAAACCTGAGGGGAGGAGGGAGCCTCTTTCAGTGGGGGTGTTGCTGGAACATCCCTTCTGGACACGCCGTCTCTCCCCACTTTGGCTGCAGTTTCTCCTTTGGAAGCTGGGATTCCCAGACACTGAGCACTCTAGAGTCTTGTGGTTTTGCTTTATTTTAGTTTTGGGTGGGAGAGGGGGCGAGGGGAGGGAGGAGAGAAGGGGCTGGGCTGTAGGTGGCGGCAGAGAAAGAGGAGAAGGAAATCCTTATTCTGGGGCCAAATGGAAGAAATAATGAGATGATTATCTGATCGGAGTTGGCAGCTTCACACCTTTTCCCAGATGACATCTTCTCGCTGCCTAATCTTGCTTCCTAGTGCCCATCTGCCAGGGAAACTGTGTGCTTGCGGTCTAGACCGAGACCCACGACTCTGCTTGCCCCTCCTCCTGCAGTAGCACCAGAGGGACCTGGAATCAGTTCCCTGGCTGTGAAGAATTAGAGAGAAAGCTCCAACAGGAATATATGAGTGAGGCTGTCAAAAGCTGTTGCTTTCGGTTAGTAAGACCCAGAGCCGGGAGAACAGATTCAGGCCAGTGGGTACCTGAGATCCGTCCTGTCCCTCCCATGTCTTGTCTGGTGGTCTGCAGAGAGTAGCATCCTGAGCTGATTGATGCCAGTTCCAGCACTCCGTGGGGCACGTCTCCACCAGCCCCCAGGGCATCTCCCTCCCTTGCCCACCCGTCCACCACCGACCAACCCCCATTCCCTATGCCATGGCACACACACTCTGATCCTTCTCCAAAGTGCTCCTCTGAACTCTTACATCCCCAAGCATGTAAAATTAGGCAGGAAATCTTTTGCAGACAGTGTAGCCTCTGAGTCTTCTCTCTCTTAAAGTCAGAGTGGACCCCTGTGGTGTGCTGGTATTTCCCTTTAGGTCCACGCCAGGAAGGTTGAGGGCAGCGACCACCCAGGTCTGTCCTCTCCACCTTCCACCCTATATCGTTCATCAGACTTGTGCACCTCAGAACATCTTCAGGAAAGATTGATTGTAAAAGTCTGGGAAAAATGGGGACTGGCCATCCTCCTTCACGATTTTAGCGGCCTGGCTCCCGAGGGCGTAGGCATCTTTGTCTACTCACTGTGCTTAGCTCCCTAACAGGCCACTTGTGGACCCTGGTTCAGAGCTGCAAGGTGGCCAACGGAAGGCCTCCTCGGGGATTTCTGATTTCTAGTAATTTCATCACTCCTATTGACAGACCAGGCCAGCTTCCCTCTCTTATCCCAGCACTGGCCTTGTGGCAGGCTACTGCCTGTCCCTGGGCAGGTGGGTCTTCACCTGTGCAGAATAACAATTAGATCGTGTCCCTGGGAGTTAAACGTAATTCAGCCTTTGAAGTTCTGCTGCAGCACTGAGGATAGATAACTTGAGGGCCTGGAAGACTTGACCCCCATGCTCTTTCCCAGTGGCTCTCAAACCTCAGCTTCTACCCACTTAGACCCAACCTCCTAGTTTTCAGACTCCCAAACTTGGGGCATGTTCCCTTTAGCAGAGACATCAAGCAATTCAACCACACCAGCCATGGTGAAGGACCACCCCCCCACCCCCGAGATGTGGGGCCTCAGGGAGTACTTCGCAAGCAGGGCACTAGGTGGCAGTGTTGCTTCATGCACAGGAGGGGAGGCGGCTCTTGGGAAGCCACGTAGTGGAGAACGTGTCTGGTTTCCTGGAATGGTGTCCCTGTCCTGGCCTCTGGGTCGTATTATATCATCCCCTCCCAGGGTGTTGCCGGTAGGCATCTCTTAGGGTCGGCTTCATACAGATTTTTTGGCAGGGCTTATGTGATAGGGCTAAAGTGGCATTTTGGGGGGTTATGATGACCCTGCGTTTGTAGCAGCTAGTAAAACAAAATCAACTGGAGTTATCTCCCCCCCTCTACCCCAAATTCCCACATTCTTCCAAAATAGGAAGTCGAATTCCAGAATGGATTGCCAGAATCCTTTTATTTAGGGTCAAGGGCAATGCAGGCCTCACGGACTTTAGGTGCTGAGGTTCTCTGTGGCCCCTGGAGGAGGTGTGATGGTGTCAACTCCCCACCACCCACCCCAGAGGCAGGCACCCCCAAAGTTGCCTATTGCCTGTGCTCTGGAGACCTAGGAAAGGGCTGTATGCAACTGCTCCACCATAGAGGCCTCTGTGAAAGTAACTTCACAAGGGCCTGGCAATTTAGGGATGCGGGGCCAAGGTGGAGTAGCCTGAGGTCAGGAGCCCATTCGGTGGGACTATTAGAACTCAGCAGTGGACAGAAGCCAAATTCTGCCCCATTCCAATGAAATCTTTAAGCCCCGGCACCCACCCCTGAGACCATTCTGTTCCTTTCCCTCCTTCTCAACTTCTTTTCCCCTCCTTGAACCCCAGTCTACACAGAAGAGAGACTTTTACTAGGTTCCTCCTCACCCATAATTGATTTCAAATGTTCCCTGCAGCTGACCAGCCGAGTAGCCACCTGCAGCTCCAAGTTGTAGGGGACTGAGTCAGTAAGTCCACGGCAGGATTAGAGCCCGGGCCCATGTTTCTTAATTCAACAAATATTTACTGAGCTTGCCATCCATGCCCAGCCCGGCAGGGCACTGTGGGGAATACAAAGATGTCTAAGAAACTGTCCCCGACTTGAAAACCAGTTTTCCTCCTCTGAGGATCCACGTTTCAGGGCGCATCCTAGTACCAAACTGAGGAGTCCAACCCCACCTGGCATCAGATCCCACTTCTGACACTTAATCAAGCGCTCTGCTCTTTGGCAATCCATTGAACTCATCGGAGCCTTGCTTTCATCACACTGAGAAGTGAGAAAATGTCTCGCATTGTTTAAATAAGTCATGTATGGAAAGTGCCCACCACAGGGCTTGGCTCGTGGTACTTGTGACGTGGTATGAATAGCAGGAGACAGCCATCACTAAGCAGTAGGTGTGAACCTACTCATCTTTGGTTCCACCCACTAACCTAGAATTTTTCCTTAGGTGGAATATTAACTTGAACTTCTTAGGAATTTAGCAAGCTACTGTGTGAGGTAGGAATGATGGCAAATAGGAAGTTTCACAAGATGGTTTCAAGATGATGGAGAACCCTAGAATCAGATGCCTAAAAGTACTCTAGTTTTTAAAATCATGTATTCTTTTTAGCTTGGGCAGAACTGTTTTGAATAAACCGGACAATGGCATGGAAGCTTTTCTGGCATCAGAAACCTTTTTGGGAATCTGATGAAAGCTGTCCTTCCTCCTCAGAAAAATGTACATGTTCACATGGTTTACCTAACTTGCAGAGCTTTTTGGATTTTCCTGAGGGCCAGTGCCTAACTGGCCCTGGTTAGGCACCTTGATGGCTCTTTGTTTTGTTTTGAGTAATGTCTAAGAAATGCGACTTCATAGGATGCTAAGAGGTGCCCTTCTCCCAATAAGGGAGCTGCATACTCACAGTGAGGAGTTTCATTGTGCGGAGCTCGGAGCTCCGCCGAAGACAGATTCCCACACACAGAAGTGTCTGTAGATGTGAAGAGAATTTAAAAGGGCCACGTGTGCCATGTCTCCCTTTATCCAGTCTTATGACAGGGGGAGAGCCACTTACATACCTTTCTCAGTGCTCCGCTGAGGGTGAGGGCTCTGTGACCGTCCCCCTCAGCTGCCTCTTCGGGTATGGCGACGATGGTCAAAGTCGGAGTGTTTGCTCTCATGAGGCCTTAAGGAGTTGCCCATTTCCTTCCACGTTGTAGCCCTGCTCCTTGACTGGGACCCAGATGTGCAAAGTTATAGCACCCCTGCCCCTCGCGTGGGAGACTATGGACGTGCAGGCCAGGCCGGTGGTG